ATTGTCAAACTACAGCAGGAAGGCCGGGGAAGGAGGGGGGGCAGGAGGGACGGGGGGAAGAGATCAACCAAAGGACTTGTATGCATGCACATAAGCATAACCAATGGACATAAGACACTGGGGGATAGGGGAGGCTAGGGGATGTCTAGGGCGGGGAAAGGAGACATGTGTGATACCCTGTGTACCACTTTAAGCAATAAAACAATAAAAAATGAGTCACCTGCCAGAAGTCAGCCACGGTGGCGGGCAGCGGCCCCTGGGCGGCGATGTAAGCCGGACTCCTGGGGTCGTGGTCCATCTGCAAGACAGGTTCACATGATGAGCTCGGAAATGGTCACGAACCAGGCAGTCACACAGTGGCCACAGGGAGTGCTGGCCGCACCCTGCACCGACTGCCACCAGGACACGCCCCGTGCCGGCCGCTCCTGACTGCTGTGCAGGGGACAGGAGCAGCATCAGCAGTGAGGACCAGCCCTTGCTGGTGTGGCTCAGTGGATAGAGCATTGACCTGCAGACTGAAAGTTCCAGGTTCGATTCCAGTCAAGGGCACATACCTGGGTTGCAGGCTTGATCCCTGGCCCTGATCAGGGAGTGAATATGGAGGTAATCAATTGATGTGTCTCTCTCATATCAATGTTTCTCTCTCTCTGTCTCTCCCCGGCCTTCCACACTCTCTAAAGATCAATGGAAAGATATCCTCAGGTGAGGATTAAAAAGAAAAAAGAAGTGAGGTTCAGATGCTAATCAATGAACCCGCTACACAGGCTGGGCTGCAGGGTGAGACCGCCAGCAGGGTGGCCTTTCCACGCATCCCAGAGCGGGTTGGCATGAGCAGGGTGAGTGCAGAGTCAGGGTCCAGGCCACGAGCCAGGTGTCAGACCTCTGGGCCCAGGCTGGTGCGAGGTGAGCCCTGCTCCTGGTTGAGTGAGGGCCCCGCTCATGGCGAAGCACCTCCCGCCCGGAAGCATTCATGAACGCAGTGCATCTGCCTCCAGAAAGAGTTACCGCCCAGAGGGGCACTTGTTTTGTTACCACGAAGGCTCAGGCACGGCTGAGTCATGCACGGTCGGTGTCCTGGGGAGGAGGCGGCCCCAGCAGCTGGCCCCCACCAGACGGGAACAGGAGTTTTCGATGCGCAGTGCTGGGGTGACATAGCCCCACCTCCTGCCCAATGTGCTTTTTTGCCCAAAACAATTTAGAGAGCAGCCGGTTTTGAATTGTTACTATGTTCAAATTAGCATTTAGTTGCTTTCAAAATGAGAAATGTGATTAAAAGTGAAAATCTGAACTGGTTTCAGGAGAGTAAATAAGGCCACCTTTTGTCACAGGTCTCAATTGTTGTGGTGTTTCACTTACTGTCCCCAGACCATAGAGGATGGGACACTCGCCATCCCCCTCGCTATCGCGTGGCTGTCGCGTGGCTGCCACGCAGAAGGCCGTGAACACCTAGAGGGCTCAGTGGGGAAATGAGTCCTCCGTTGAGCAACAAAAGACAGCCCTGACTGCGGTGCCACGCACCCTCTGTGGACAGACCACATCCCGGGCAAGAGCACTCGATGTGAGCAGCCAACACCGCGCCTCAGAGCCGTGGCGGGAGGCAGGGGGCGCGGCATCCTCAGTGAATGAAAGTTCAGCAGACAACCATGCGGACAGAGGCCTCATTCCACTTGATCTCCAAGGTGGGACAAGTGCGATGAGAGGAGGCAGGCACGCCCCTTCCCTTCTCTGGGAAGCACTCCAGGCGGCCGACGGGCTCAGCGTGGTGGATGTGTGTCCCGCCTCCGGTTCCTGGTGGGAGAACAGCATCTTCTCCGTTCTCGCTCACCTTCCCACGTCTTGTGGGAAACTTTTTATTTGTACAAATGCCAAGTTCACAACCAGAAGCTCTGTGACCGCAGAAGAAGGGAGAGTCTGCTTGGACCCCGGTCCTGTGTCTGTGAGACCTGAGATGGGAGGGATGTGGGCAGCAGGAGGTCTGATGCCCTTCAACCCCGGGATCCCTGGGAGTTTTCAGAAAAGGTGAAGCAGAGCCCACTGTCCACAGGTGCCGAGTCTGTGAAGACGCCAGGTGAAACTGGGCACCCGCATGGAGCCTTCTTGCGAACCTTCAGTGCACAGGCGGACAGCCTGTGATCTGCCTTCAGCTGTACAAGGGCAATCTACATACAGGAAGGCCTAAGCCACTATTGGGCCAGTGGACCAGTGGACCCTTCGACTGGAAGCTATGACATGCACTGACCACCAGGGGGCAGATGCTCAACACACAGGCATGGAAACATGGAACAGACTGATGAATCAGAGGGAAGGGGGCGGGGAAGGGGGGAAGAGATTAACCGAAGATTTTACATGCATACTAGAGGCCTGCTGCAGGAAATTCATGGGCAGGTACCGTCCCTACGCCTGGCCTGTGATCAGGGCCATCTTCCCCAGCTGCCCGCAGCTGCCCTGCCCCCTGCTCCAGTTCCCTGTTCCCCATCTGGTGATCGGTGCCTGATGGCTGGGGGAAGGGACCAAGAGGAGGTCAGTGTGCCTCACAGTGACTGGTCCAGCAGTCGTTCTGGTCATTCTGCTGTCAGGGTCAGTTTGCATATTATCCTTTCATTACATAGGACAGAGGCCTGGTGATGGCCAGCCTGCCCCGAAGGGGACCCTGAGTCAGGATGGAGTGTCCCTGCTGGGGGCCAGGGCCGGCTTGGGTGAGGGGTTGTGGGCGGTTTGCAGGCTACCCATGTCCCTGGCTTTGTCAGGAAGGATGTCTGGTCTATCCAGTTAAATTAGCATATAACCCCTTTATTAGTATAGATTAGAGGCCTGGTGCACAGATTCATGCACTGGTGGAGTCCCTCAGCCTGGCCTGCAGGGATTGGGCCGAATCCGTGCCCTGGGCCTCTGACATCCCCCGAGGGTCCTAGATTGTGAGAGGACAGGCCAGG